GGTCAAGAGGGCAGTGAGGTACTGTGTGCTACAAGTTGGTAGTGGCGGGTGAGAGAGCTGGGGGCGAACAGAGAGACATCTGGTGAGATGCTGAGGGAAACTGGCTTGGCGGGTAGCCAGCACTGGTGCCGCTTCAAAATCACGTTCGAGTTTGACCAAGCGTTCTGATTGGCTGATAGAGCTGTGACGTCATGGAGTCCTCCAAGCCGCCGACGAGGACCCGGGAATATCATCTGGGCTGAGACCTCTGTGGGATTGCCTCAAAATGATTTTCATTGATTCATTATGTCAATGTGATTTGATTACGATCAGACTGCAGCTTAGGAGTGTGGTCAGGTTGGCCTCTGCTCATAGAGATACGTCAAGGACCTCTGCTCATAGATATAGCACAAGGACCTCTGCTCATAAAGATAGCTCAAGGACCTCTGCTCATAGATATAGCACAAGGACCTCTGCTCATAGAGATACGTCAAGGACCTCTGCTCATAGATATAGCACAAGGACCTCTGCTCATAGAGATAGCTCAAGGACCTCTGCTCATAAAGATAGCTCAAGGACCTCTGCTCATAGAGATAGCTCAAGAACCTCTGCTCATAAATATAGCTCAAGGACCTCTGCTCATAGATATAGCACAAGGACCTCTGCTCATAGAGATACGTCAAGGACCTCTGCTCATAGAGATAGCTCAAGGACCTCTGCTCATAGAGATAGCTCAAGGACCTCTGCTCATAGAGATAGCTCAAGGACCTCTGCTCATAGAGATAGCTCAAGGACCTCTGCTCATAGAGATAGCTCAAGGACCTCTACTCATAGAGATAGCTCAAGGACCTCTGCTCATAGAGATAGCACAAGGACCTCTGCTCATAAATATAGCTCATGGACCTCTGCTCATAAATATAGCTCAAGGACCTCTGCTCATAGAGATAGCTCAAGGACCTCTACTCATAGAGTGCGACTACAACCCTATGGATCATCAGCTTAGAGCTGGAGACGGCAAGTCGACCGTAAAAACGTGATTGGGCCCCGGCTTGGGGCATCCAACACTTCCCAGAGAACTCAGTAGAATTCTGGGTTGGTCAACGTTTGTACCACTTTGGCCGAGCGGTTAAGGCAGGCTTCCGGGAATGGTCAAGGCTCGCGAGGTCAAGCCACGTCATTGCCTCCAAATGATTGTCATTATACTGGTAGTAGTCCAATTCACTGTTTGGAGTGTATGTGTGAACAGATATTTAAATGAACTGGTAATGTTGTGTTTGAAACTCCTACTACCTGCTATCCGTTCTGCATAGTTACACTTGAAATTTGACTTCAGGCATGTCTTATTTACTCGTTTCAGACTTTGCAACTTCGCCTTTACAACTGCAAAGTTCGCCTTTAACAATGCAGACTTCTGAAAATTTGTGTATGATTTCTAAGGAGAAACTGAACAGAGGACATAACAGAGGAGGTTTTTCCTTGTGGAAAAACCACCAATATAACAACTAAAGGAGAGAGAGAGAGAGAGAGAGAGAGAGAGAGAGAGAGAGAGAGAGAGAGAGAGAGAGAGAGAGAGAGAGAGAGAGAGAGAGAGGAGAGAGAGAGAGAGAGAGAGAGAGAGAGAGTGGAGAGAATTGAGAGAGAGTGAGAGAGAGAGGGGAGAGATTGAGAGAGAGAGAGAGAGAGAGAGAGAGAGAGAGAGAGAGAGAGAGAGAGAGAGAGAGAGAGAGAGAGAGAGGGGGGGGGGGGTTTGAGGGGCAATACAAACACCTTCACCAGCCGGCTTGAACACGGGTGGTACGCGAACAAGGGGACACAGGTGAAAACTGAGTACCCACATGAGCCACAGGGACGTTAGAAAGAACTTTTTCAGTGTCAGAGTAGTTAACAAGTGGAATGCACTAGGCAGTGATGTGGTGGAGGCTGACTCCATACACAGTTTCAAATGTAGATATGATAGAGCCCAGTAGGCTCAGGAATCTATACCGTAGTTGCTTGACAGTTGAGAGGCGGGACCAAAGAGCCGAAGCTCAACCACTGCAAGCACAACTAGGTGAGAATACCAACACACACACACCCACAAGCAACCATTATCACACCACCACCCACAAACAACCATTATCACTTACCACCACCCACAAGCAACCATTATCACTTACCACCACCCACAAGCAACCATTATCACACACCACCACCCACAACCAACCACTCTCACACCACCACCCACAACCAACCACTCTCACACCCCGTGCTCAGAGCCCCCAGTTGCCTGGCAGACTCACCATGAACAAGCAGCAGGAGTCTTTGCGTCCAGGTGGGAGAGAGTCGGTAATGGACTCTGCATCTATACTCGGCCTGGTCGCCCTCCACGACCCCTCTGATCACCAGAGATGTCCCTCCTGCCTCCAGGTATCGACGCTCCTGGGGCCTGTCGCTCTTGCTGCTGCTGCTGCTGCTGCTGCTGGTGTTGTTCGCGAAGATGCTGTTGGTGTTGCTGAGGTCGATTTTGGCCCGAGCGTCGTAGCTGTGGTGGAGAAGAGAAGAGTGAGGCTGAGAGAGTGACGGAGAAGTGAGGGAGATGGGCAAGTGATGTGGAGGGTGTTGTGGTGATGGGTGTTGTGGTAGTGGAGTGTTGTGGTGTTGAGTGTTGTGGTGTTGAGTGTTGTGGTGGTGTAGTGTTGTGGTGGTGAGTGTTGTGGTGTTGAGTGTTGTGGTGGTGGAGTGTTGTGGTGTTGAGTGTTGTGATGATGGGTGTTGTGGTAGTGGAGTGTTGTGGTGTTGAGTGTTGTGGTGGTGGAGTGTTGTGGTGGTGTAGTGTTGTGGTGGTGTAGTGTTGTGGTGGTGAGAGTGTTGTGGTGGTGAGAGTGTTGTGGTGGTGAGAGTGTTGTGGTGGTGGAGTGTTGTGGTGGTGGAGTGTTGTGGTGGTGGAGTGTTGTGGTGGTGGAGTGTTGTGGTGTTGGAGTGTTGTGGTGGTGGAGTGTTGTGGTGGTGGAGTGTTGTGGTGGTGGAGTGTTGTGGTGGTGGAGTGTTGTGGTGGTGTAGTGTTGTGGTGGTGAGAGTGTTGTGGTGGTGAGAGTGTTGTGGTGGTGGAGTGTTGTGGTGGTGTAGTGGTTTGGTGGTGGAGTGTTGTGGTGGTGAGAGTGTTGTGGTGGTGAGAGTGTTGTGGTGGTGGAGTGTTGTGGTGGTGTAGTGTTGTGGTGGTGGAGTGTTGTGGTGGTGGAGTGTTGGTGGTGTGGTGGGTGGAGTGTTGTGGTGGTGGAGTGTGTGGTGGTGGAGTGTTGTGGTGAAGGGTGTTGTGGTGGTGTAGTGTTGTGGTGGTGTAGTGTTGTGGTGGTGTAGTGTTGTGGTGGTGTAGTGTTGTGGTGGTGTAGTGTTGTGGTGGTGTAGTGTTGTGGTGTTGAGTGTTGTGGTGTTGAGTGTTGTGGTGTTGAGTGTTGTTGTGTTGAGTGTTGTGGTGGTGGAGTGTTGTGGTGGTGGAGTGTTGTGGTGGTGGAGTGTTGTGGTGAAGGGTGTTGTGGTGGTGTAGTGTTGTGGTGGTGTAGTGTTGTGGTGGTGTAGTGTTGTGGTGTTGAGTGTTGTGGTGGTGAGAGTGTTGTGGTGGTGGAGTGTTGTGGTGGTGTAGTGTTGTGGTGGTGAGAGTGTTGTGGTGGTGGAGTGTTGTGATGGTGTAGTGTTGTGGTGGTGAGAGTGTTGTGGTGGTGGAGTGTTGTGGTGGTGTAGTGTTGTGGTGGTGAGAGTGTTGTGGTGGTGGAGTGTTGTGGTGGTGGAGTGTTGTGGTGGTGGAGTGTTGTGGTGGTGGAGTGTTGTGGTGAAGGGTGTTGTGGTGGTGTAGTGTTGTGGTGGTGTAGTGTTGTGGTGGTGTAGTGTTGTGGTGGTGTAGTGTTGTGGTGGTGTAGTGTTGTGGTGGTGTAGTGTTGTGGTGTTGAGTGTTGTGGTGTTGAGTGTTGTGGTGGTGAGAGTGTTGTGGTGGTGGAGTGTTGTGGTGGTGTAGTGTTGTGGTGGTGAGAGTGTTGTGGTGGTGGAGTGTTGTGGTGGTGGAGTGTTGTGGTGGTGGAGTGTTGTGGTGGTGGAGTGTTGTGGTGGTGGAGTGTTGTGGTGGTGAGAGTGTTGTGGTGTTGAGTGTTGTGGTGGTGTAGTGTTGTGGTGGTGAGTGTTGTGGTGTTGAGTGTTGTGGTGGTGGAGTGTTGTGGTGGTGGAGTGTTGTGGTGGTGTAGTGTTGTGGTGGTGGAGTGTTGTGGTGGTGGAGTGTTGTGGTGGTGGAGTGTTGTGGTGGTGGAGTGTTGTGGTGAAGGGTGTTGTGGTGGTCTAGTGTTGTGGTGGTGTAGTGTTGTGGTGGTGTAGTGTTGTGGTGTTGAGTGTTGTGGTGGTGAGAGTGTTGTGGTGGTGGAGTGTTGTGGTGGTGTAGTGTTGTGGTGGTGAGAGTGTTGTGGTGGTGGAGTGTTGTGGTGGTGTAGTGTTGTGGTGGTGAGAGTGTTGTGGTGGTGGAGTGTTGTGGTGGTGTAGTGTTGTGGTGGTGGAGTGTTGTGGTGGTGGAGTGTTGTGGTGGTGGAGTGTTGTGGTGGTGGAGTGTTGTGGTGAAGGGTGTTGTGGTGGTGTAGTGTTGTGGTGGTGTAGTGTTGTGGTGGTGTAGTGTTGTGGTGGTGTAGTGTTGTGGTGGTGTAGTGTTGTGGTGTTGAGTGTTGTGGTGTTGAGTGTTGTGGTGGTGAGAGTGTTGTGGTGGTGGAGTGTGTGGTGGTGTAGTGTTGTGGTGGTGAGCTGTGGTGGTGAGTGTTGTGGTGGTGGTGGAGTGTTGTGGTGGTGGTGGGGTGTTGTGGTGGATGGTGGAGTGTTGTGGTGGAGTGGAGTGTTGTGGTGGTGGAGTGTTGTGGTGTTGGAGTGGATGTGGTGGTGGTGGAGTGTTGTGGTGGATGGTGGAGTGTTGTGGTGGATGGTGGAGTGTTGTGGTGGTGGTGGAGTGTTGTGGTGGTGGAGTGTTGTGGTGGATGGTGGAGTGTTGTGGTGGATGGTGGAGTGTTGTGGTGGATGGTGGAGTGTTGTGGTGGATGGTGGAGTGTTGTGGTGGATGGTGGAGTGTTGTGGTGGATGGGTGTGTTGTGGTGGATGGTAGTGTTGTGGTGGATGGTGGAGTGTTGTGGTGGATGGTGGTGTGTTGTGGTGGGTGGTGGAGTGTTGTGGTGGTGGAGTGTTGTGGTGGTGGAGTGTTGTGGTGGTGGAGTGTTGTGGTGGTGAGAGGTGTGTGTGGTGGATGGTGGAGTGTTGTGGTGGTGGTGGAGTGTTGTGGTGGTGGGAGTGTTGTGGTGGATGGTGGTGTGTTGTGTTGTGGTGGTGGTGGAGTGTTGTGGTGGTGGTGGAGTGTTGTGGTGGTGGAGTGTTGTGGTGGATGGTGGAGTGTTGTGGTGGATGGTGGAGTGTTGTGGTGGATGGTGGAGTGTTGTGGTGGATGGTGGAGGTGTTGTGGTGGTGGTGAGTGTTGTGGTGGATGGTGGGAGTGTTGTGGTGGATGAGTGTTGTGGTGGATGGTGGAGTGTTGTGGTGGATGGTGGAGTGTTGTGGTGGATGGTGGAGTGTTGTGGTGGATGGTGTGTTGTGTTGGTGGATGGTGGGGTGGTGTGGTGGATGGTGGAGTGTTGTGGTGGATGGTGGAGTGTTGTGGTGGATGGTGGAGTGTTGTGGTGGATGGTGGTGTTGTGGTGGATGGTGGTGTGTTGTGGTGGTGGTGGTGTTGTGGTGGTGGTGGAGTGTTGTGGTGGTGGTGGAGTGTTGTGGTGGATGTGTTGTGGTGGATGGTGGTGTTGGATGGTGGGTGTTGTGTGTGGAGTGGTGGAGTGGTGGTGGTGTAGTGTTGTGGTGGTGTTGTGTTGTGGTGGTGGGAGTGTTGTGGTGGATGGTGGAGTGTTGTGGTGGTGGTGGAGTGTTGTGGTGGTGGTGGTGTTGTGGTGGTGGATGGTGGAGTGTTGTGGTGGTGGTGGAGTGTTGTGGTGGTGGTGTGTGTGTGGTGGTGGAGTGTTGTGGTGGATGGTGGAGTGTTGTGGTGGATGGTGGAGTGTTGTGGTGGTGGAGGTGTTGTTGTGGTGGTGAGTGTGTTGTGGTGGATGGTGTGTTGTGGTGGATGGTGGAGTGTTGTGGTGGATGGTGGAGTGTGTGGTGGTGGTGGAGTGTTGTGGTGGATGGTGGAGTGTTGTGGTGGATGGTGGAGTGTTGTGGTGGATGGTGGAGTGTTGTGGTGGATGGTGGAGTGTTGTGGTGGATGGTGTTGTGTTGTGGTGTGGTGGTGGTGTGTTGTGGTGGATAGTGTTGTGGTGGTGTAGTGTTGTGGTGGAGTGTTGTGGTGGTGTGGTGGTGGGAGTGTTGTGGTGGTGGAGTGTTGTGGTGGTGTGGTGGTGTAGTGTTGTGGTGGTGAGAGTGTTGTGGTGGTGGATGGTGGGTGGTGTTGTGTTGTGGATGGTGAGAGTGTTGTGGTGGTGGAGTGTTGTGGTGGTGTAGTGTTGTGGTGGATGAGGAGTGTTGTGGTGGATGGTGGTTGTTGTGGTGGATGGTGTGGTGGTGGTGGTGGATGGTGGTGTGTTGTGGTGGATGGTGGAGTGTTGTGGTGGTGGAGTGTTGTGGTGGATGAGTGTTGTGGTGGTGGTGGAGTGTTGTGGTGGATGGTGGAGTGTTGTGGTGGATGGTGGAGTGTTGTGGTGGTGGTGGAGTGTTGTGGTGGTGGAGTGTTGTGGTGGTGGAGTGTTGTGGTGGAGGAGTGTTGTGGTGGTGGAGTGTTGTGGTGGTGGAGTGTTGTGGTGGTGGGGTGTGGTGGATGGTGTAGTGTTGTGGTGGTGTGGAGTGTTGTGGTGGTGTAGTGGGGTGTGTGGTGGAGTGTGTGTGGTGGTGTAGTGTTGTGGTGGTGTAGTGTTGTGGTGTTGAGTGTTGTGGTGGTGAGAGTGTGGTGGATGGTGGAGTGTTGTGGTGGATGGTGGAGTGTTGTGGTGGTGTGGTGTTGTGGTGGTGGTGTTGTGGTGGTGGAGTGTTGTGGTGGTGGAGTGTTGTGGTGGTGGTGGGTTGTTGTGGTGGAGGGGAGTGTGTGGTGTGGGTGGTGAGTGTTGTGGTGGTGTGGTGTTGTGGTGGCGGTGTGTGTGGTGGTGGTGTGTTGTGGTGGTGGAGTGTTGTGGTGGTGGAGTGTTGTGGTGGTGGTGGAGTGTTGTGGTGGTGGTGGAGTGTTGTGGTGGTGGAGTGTTGTGGTGGTGGAGTGTTGTGGTGGTGGAGTGTTGTGGTGAAGGATGGTGTGGTGTTGTGGTGGATGTGGTGGTGTTGTGGTGGTGGTGGTGTTGTGTTGTGGTGGAGTGTTGTGGTGGTGGTGAGTGTTGTGGTGGTGGAGTGTTGTGGTGGATGGTGGGTGTGTGTGGTGGTGGAGTGTTGTGGTGGTGGAGTGTTGTGGTGGTGGAGTGTTGTGGTGGTGAGAGTGTTGTGGTGGTGTAGTGTTGTGGTGGTGTAGTGTTGTGGTGGTGAGAGTGTTGTGGTGGTGAGAGTGTTGTGGTGGAGTGTTGT